GGTAAGATTCGAACTCGGTACCTCGTTGATACGAAGCCATAACTCTACCAATTACGCCAACACAGGCCGCATGGATTACGCTTTTTTTCGGCCTCATAACTTGTTAGTTTGTTATATCTAAATATTAACTTTGTGTTATTGAACAATAAATAAATACCACAACGTGATATTTCGTTTAATAGCTGGAGGTAAGATTTGAACTCGGTACCTTGTTGATACGAAGCCATAACTCTCCCAATTACGCCAACACAGGCCGCATGGATTATGCTTTTTTTCGGCCTGATAACTTGTTAGTTTGTTATATCTAAACATTAACTTTGTGTTATTGAACAATAAATAAATACCACGACGTGATATTTCGTTTAATAGCTGGAGGTAAGATTCGAACTCGGTACCTAAAAAAAAATTGGACAAAAAATTTTGGACAAAAAAAATTTGGACAAAAAAAATTTGGATAAAAAAAATTGGGAAAAAAATTTGTGGTCAAAAAAATTTTGGAAAAAAAATTTTTGGGAAAAAATTTTTGGGGAAAAAATTTTGGGAAAAAAATTTTGGTCAAAAAAATTTTGGAAAAAAGAAATTTTGGTCAAAAAAAAAATTTGGGAAAAAAAATTTTGGTCAAAAAAAATTTGGAATAAAAAATTTTCGGAAAAAAGTTTGTGGACAAAAAAATTTTGAAAAAAAAAATTTTTGGTCAAAAAAATTTTGGTCAAAAAATTTTTGGAAAATAAATTTTTGCTCCAAAAAATTTTGGAATAAAAATTTGAGAAAAAAATTTTTAGGAAAAAAATTTTTGGGGAAAAAATTTTGGGAAAAAAATTTTTGGTCAAAAAAATTTTGGAGAAAAAAAATTTTGGGAAAAAACTTTTTTGGGAAAAAAATTTGGGAAAAAAAATTTTGGTCAAAAAAATTTTGGTCAAAAAAATTTTGAAAAAAAAAATTTTGGGAAAAAAAATTTTTGATCAAACTCAAAAAATTTTGGAGAAAAAAAAAATTGGGTAAAAAATCTTGGGTCGATATTCCGATATTTCGATATTCCGTTATTCCGATATTTAGATATTCAGATATTCCGATATTCCGATAATCCGAAGTCCGGATAAACCAAAGTCCTGATAATGCGAAAAAAATTTGGGAAAAAATTTTGGAAAAAAAAATTCGGGAAAAAAAATTTTTGGTCAAAAAAATTTTGGTCAAAAAAATGTTTGGTCAAAAAAATGAGAAAAAAATTTTGGAAAAAAAAATTCGGGAAAAAATTTTTGGTCGAAAAAATTTTGGGAAAAAAATTTTGAAAAAAAAAATTTTTGGAAAAAAATTTTTTGGGAAAAAAATTTTGAGAAAAAAAATTTTTGGTCAAAAAAATTTTGGAGAAAAAAATTTTTTCGGAAAAAAATATAGGAAAAAAAATTTTGATCAAAAAAAAATTGGGAAAAATATTTTTGGTCAAAAAAATTTTGGAAAAAAATTTTTTCGGAAAAAAATTTTTGATCAGAAAAATTTTGGGAAAAAAATTTCTGGTCGATATTCCGATATTCCGATATTCAGATATTCCGCTAATCCGAAGTCCGGATAAAGCGAAGTCCTGATATGCGAAAAAATTTGGGAAAAAAATTTAGGAAAAAAAATTTTTGTCAAAAAAATATTGGAGAAAAAAATTTTTTGGGAAAAAAATTTTTGGTCAAAAAAAATTTGGTCTAAAAAATTTTCGAAAAAAAAATTTTGGGAAAAGAATTTTTGGTCAAAAAAAAAATAGGGAAAAAAATTTTGGTCAAAAAAAATTGTAAAAAAAATTTTGTGAAAAAAATTTTTGGTCAAAAAAATTTTGGAAAAAAATTTTTGGGAAAAAAATTTTTCGGGAAAAAAATTTTTGGTCAAAAAAATTTTGGAAAAAAAAATTTGTCAAAAAAATTTTGGAAAAAAAAATTCGGGAAAAAAAATTTTGGTCAAAGAAATTTGGAAAAAAAAATTTGTGAAAAAAATTTTTGGTCAAAAAAATTTTGGAAAAAAAATTTTTGGGAAAAAAATTTTTTTGGAAAAAAATTTTGGTCAAAAAAATTTTGGAGAAAAAAATTTTGGTCAAAAAAAAATTGGAAAAAAAATTTTGGGAAAAAAATTTGGAGAAAAAAAAACTTGGAAGAAAAATTGGGAAAAAAAATTTTTGGTCAAAAAAAAATTGGGGAAAAAAATTTTGGTCAAAAAAATTTTGGAAAAAAAATTTGGGAAAAAACTATTGTAAGAAAATTCAGTAAAATTTTATAAATTTTCAAATCCATCACAAAACGTTTCAGAATTATCTAATTTGTTTACATAGACTATGCACCTATATATTATATCAGTCCGAAGAAATAACTTAAATAACATGATCAAATAAAACTATTAGATGCTTATTTTCATATATTATTTACAAATAGCTCATAAATTTAGCTGCACAATGCATTTATGTTCTTAACATCGATTTTTTTCATATATCTCTAATAAATATTTACAAAACGTTTATTTATTAAACTATACTATATATATATATATATATATATATATATATATATATATATATAGTATAGTATAATGTATATTATATGCTTGAATGCATAAAAATCTCTAATATAGTTAATAGTTGCAATTAATTTCATAACTTCATTCATAAATACTACAAATAATTGATATTAAAGAAACAATTACCAGAGATTAATTTATCACGTTTATAACTTTTTATTTGGGTAATGGTTGCATGAATTGAAGAAGGGCAATATTCTTCATCATAACTTTCTAAAAAAATATTTGGATTGACGGAAATGAAGAAATTAGTGATTTCATTTTATTGTTGGCAGTGAAAGTTATTTCGTAATTATAAAAAATGCAATATGCATGTTACTTTTTATGCAAGATTTATTAATATCATCGATACCTTTATTAGTTACAAAAGTGACCATAATAATCATATATTTTGATCACACGGAACATACCAAAAGCATTTGATTTAAAATTTTCAATGACGTTTTTAATAAACGTGTGATTTTTTATTCTATATGCAAAGATATATCCATATTTGCAAGAACTTCTCATAAATATAAAATTAACTTAGCATGAGTTATTTATATTGGAACAGAACCAAAAAAATTGAATTAATTGTTTCAAAGAGTATCATCTAGTAAACATTGGCTTTAAATAATTACAATAATCTTTCATTAAGTGCTGAATACTCACTAGATAATATTCACATACTGATGTTCTGTTCCACATTAGGTTATTGTAATAGCTGTAGCCATTTTTGACTACAAAGATTCATACAATTTACGAGAAATGTTAGTGTACTTCTTCAGCTAATAGAAATTTGAATGAAATGAACAAACTTTCGGTTGCAAGATATTGTGTGACACTATGATCAACTAAGTGCATGAAATGATGTGTATTATAACTAAATGATAACTTTTATATAGCATAATAAATTATAATTTATGTACTAATTGACCCACATTTCATCAATTAAGTAGTACCATTCAAAACAGTGTTATATATATATATATATATATATATATATATATATATATTTACATACATACATATATATATATATATATATATATATATATACAGTAGCATCCGATTAGTATGACGCCGGATATATTGACAACTGCTTAATATGACGTAATCGCACTTGGTTCGAATCGAATTTGGTTTCCATATAAAATTCCTTAAAAAAAACAGCTGTCTAGTCGGATATATTGACATCGCTTACATTGACATGTCGCTTAATGACCCATTTTTGCAAAAAAAATATGTCCAATTATAATGACCGACATGATTTTAGATGATGTGGCCAAGTCTACGAAAGCAATTGCTATGTCTTTTGTGCACAATAGCACCAGGGTCTGTTTTTACAATAAAATTATGTAAAGAAATCAATCAAAAATTACTAATTACTTACATTAAAAAACACATTTGTATGTTTATGGGTAGGGTAGACTAATTATTAATGGCCCACCACGGATATCTATTTGATAGTAGAGGGCGAAAAATGTATAAATTATAACCAGCCATCACCTTTATTCCTATGACTTTGCTATCAGAAGATAAGCAGCACATGACTGCGATAAAAAGAACCAGCTGAACCTTAACTTTGGCAAAGGTGTAAGCAATAAAATAGTAAAGCTTTAAAAAAAGCAATTTTACAAGAGACTAATTGAATAAAATGTTATTCCGGCTCTTCTGATGAATATTTCTGACCAATAGCAGATCAATGTAATATACTGTGTTGTCTTTGTAACAGATGTACCCACAGAATTAATATTTTGCATTGGTTCAATAATGTAGCGTAAAATGCCTTTAAAATTTAATAGAAGAAATTGTATCTGTTCGCCCCCTGGTTGTTCCACTTTACCCCGTATGTGAGGTAAAATGGGTCAGATACCAAATGTTTAAAAAATAGTAAAAAATATAATATTTATATAATTAAGAATTATGTACGTATGTATGTAAGTTTTTCTGAACATAGTTTGATAAATGCTTCTTTGATGTATGTTATGTGTTGTTCATTGGGTTTAGACAGTATAATTACCGTAAGTCAAATTGGACCGTTGTGCCCCGCCCTACCCTATGCCAATTTTATTTTATATTAAATTTTATTGTGTCATTTTTATTTTTATTTAAAACGTTTGTATAGGTTTTTCTTCTAAATTACTGAAACATATTTGCATATTAAAGAGTTTTTCTTCAGTACGCTTTTAATGACGGCCGGTTAGTATGACGAGATTTCGGCGACCCTTCGATGTTATACTAAGCGGATTCTACTGTATATATATAACGACATATATATATATATATATATGTATATATTAAATTAATTATAATATATGGCCAAACAACATTTTTTGCACTATTTAGTAAGTATTTTAAATTTTATAAATATTTCGAGACTCAGTTTCTCGCATCATTAGTATATTAATTCAAAACAAATTACTAAAATATAGACCAATACGTCATATGTTCTTTTATGCAGTTGCCGGCACCATGACTCATCTTATCATTCTTGTTTCTTATATAATTTACATATTACGCCCAAGCTCATATTTTACTGAAAATGGACATCGCTACTGCACAGTATCAGACATTCCAGAGCGCGGGTTCGAAATCGCTACACTGTCTACATAATGTCAACGAAAGACTTTTGCCATAGAAGTTGGAGCCCCCGCTCTAGCAACCTGACATCGGTAAGCAGCGCTGTCCATTCAGAGATGAAAATTATGTTTCCAATACAACATAAGCACATTTCGAGCATGGCGGTGTGAAATGGCAATAGAATCTCTCACACTTTTTTTCGGAGTTTAACTCAGCTCAGTAACAGTCATTATAATTTTATTATATATATATGTGTATATTTGCCAAATTATTGCCAGTTTACCTCCGTGGTGTTGGGATCTTTATTACATATTAGATTCTACAGTTTGCCCATGCATGCGTTCAAAAATTCATTTTAATAGTTGCGTTGGAATTTCAGTCATAAACTCGAAGTATATCAAGACTTTTATCATTTTTGCTTGATATATTTCATTTATAATATACATGGAATGCTTCTGCTTATTTAAACTAACACAAGGAAGTTTTTTGTAATCAACAATGACAAAAATACAAATAAAGCTAATTTCGTTGTAGCTAAAATAGTGATCTTCATATCGGCGGCCGATGTTGCGCCAAGAGCGTGCAGGACAGTTGTCGAATATCGGACGGGTATCGTGTAATCGCTGAGTCCGGCAGCATTGCGGGAAGCAACGCGCACCATGTAAGGCGTCGACGTACTCAATGATGATAGAACATATCCGTCACTTGCCCCTGTTGAAACATCAATATAATCAAAAACAATAAAGAATTAAGTGCAGATGGTATTTTGATTAACCAGTTGACTGTGGCACGCTCATTGAACAGTGCGCACAGTTTTGTGTCTTCCGAATAGGGTCATGACTAGGTGTTTATATAAAAACCGACATTTCAGAAAACCGGTTTTCGAATCTTAATTTTACTAAAAAAACGGTTTCAACCGGTTTTTGAATTTTATATAGAAAACAAATTTTTGCTCGAATATTCTGTAATTTATCCGCAAATTTAGTGTAATTTAGAGCAATATTCGACTGAATTTATTTATTGTTCAACTTTATAAATAGTAAACAAAATTATTTTAATTTCAATTAGTAAAACTAAAAAATAATAGTTTATCTTGATTAAGTAACTTTGAAGATAATTATTCGTCTTTCATGCATCATTTTCACATAAAGGAATAAAAATATCTTTATGATAGTCAAAGGAAAGTTTTCGAATAAATTAAAACAATACATTTTTAAATAAAAAAAATCATTAAATTAAAAAAAAAATAGATACACGCAGATACATACTTGTAAATATCAATTTTAGTTTTAAAAACAATTAAGCTAAACTCGGGTATCGTCTGTTCCGAGCAATTTTAATTAATTAATTCTAAACATTCTAATTGTTTTTTTGTTTAATAAAATATGATTAAAAAAAAACATAGAACGATTATCGAATTGCTACTTAGACGTGTCCTTTGTATACTCGCAATATTTCCTGAAATAGAAAATACTCTCATACTTGCGACCAAATTATGCTTAATTGTTTTTAAAGCCTGATATAATAATTCTAAATTTTTTGTTCTTTAATTTGTGGCTTCTTGCGTTTAAAACTCTTCTTTTTAAGATAGAGTAGAGAAAGTTATTTCTCCAAGTCACACTGATTTAAATTAATATAAATAAACTGGTATAAAAATCTAAATTAATATATGCAAAACCTTTCTGGGAACCATTGCAGGCTGATAAGATATCAAATTGCAACTCCGCTAGTAATCTGAATTAAAAAAATACTAATCTAGAATGTTGTCGCTATGGCATATAATGCGGACAATTTAAAAAAATTGTTTTGACAGAATGACGAACGTTTGAATACTGTTTTTTGTACCTTTTCTTCGAGTTTCTCAAATTCTTATAAATAGTAAACATTAAAATTTGAGATGCGTTTAGTATATATCAGAGTAAAATCTATAATGAAGATTCAATGAAAATTTCAAGCAAATTCGTCCAATGGAACTCGAGAAATCGTAGGCATTGCATAGAAAAAAAAACGATTTTGAGAAAAACGCGTTTAAAGTTTTGCAAAGGTAAGGAAACAAAAGAGGATTATTATGGTCAAACAGCTGTATCTGCTGAAATAATTTAAATTTTTAAAAATCCTTTCGTACACGTATTATCAAATAGTTAAAATTGGGAAATATGAAAACTATTTTTTGTATTTCTACACTAGAATACTTCCTTACGTCATTTATTTCAGATCCGAATCATTTGAAACATCGAAAAACATAAAATTACTAAATCGAATTTTTTTGGCAAAACCAAACTCATTTAGGAAATTAACAACAGTATGCTTAATCATGAGTATTGTAATCATTTATACCAACCTTGCTCTATATCAATGTCAATTTCTCCAGAATGTGCCCAAACATCATCCTTTTGTTCGCCCCAATCCGCAAGAGGCGCATATTGAAATCTAAAACCTAATATCCGCATATCTACTTCATTTTTGCCTTCTTTAATCGGCTGTGGATTTTTAGGACCAGTAATTTCAAATTCCAGAGAATCAGCACCGGCGGTCCGCAGTAAAACCTAATGAATAGTAGAGCATTGATTATAATTATAGAATTAAAATATATGTATATATAACAGTAATATTAACCAAATAATAATTGAACTGGAAAAAAGTAAAAGTACTGCTAAAGATAGAAGTTGCTTACTTTAGCGGGCGGATCAGGTTTGGCACCTTCCTTAATTGTTACTGTTCTATCAAGATAGCCGAGAAAATTTGCTGCTCTGCACGTATAATTTCCAAAGTCATTAGAGTCCGTAATAGGTAACTATAAAAATGAAGTCTTTTATTGAATTGGATAAAAAACCAAAGCACCACTCTTAAATTATTAATTCACTTTACCTGCAACGTAGTTGAATGTTCTGAATTGAATACTATTGCTTCTTTTAGAGGCTTTTTATTTCTCATCCAGGTGAAATTAGCTGGTGGTTCTCCTAGGGCTTCGCATGTTACGTTAACAACTCCTGATACAAATCCGTAAACCAGCTGAGGTCTCGGATTTGCTGGACTCATCGGTTTATCTGTTTGATTGCACAATAGTCATTAAATTATATAGTTATAAAGTGTAAAACCAGAAATAAACTCACGTTGGATATTTAGTTTAATTGTTCGTTCTTGTACGTTACTGACTGCAGTCGAAACTTGATATGCTTTACAAGTATAAAAACCTCTATCTTTAATTGTTACTTTCTTTATCAAAAGCCCATCTGCTAACTTGCTATATCGTTCACTAGGCACTAAAATCGATCATATAAATATGTAATTAACACATAATTAAGGGTTGTATTATTAACATTGATTTAAATTGGATATTTACGTGCAATTTGTTGACCATTAAGTTGCCAGGAAACTTTTGGCTCAGGATCACCACGTACCTCACAACGGACCGTTGCGTCTTTGTTTTCAGGAGCATATTGCTCATTTGGTGTATCCATGAATGAAATCGGCTCTGCCATAAAAAATATATATGTAAGTATATATGGTAAAATATCTCACAATTGTACTCAATATCTAACGCCTTAGACATACCATATTCAAGCAATTGCCCAGGCTATAATATACTATATCATAAGAACACTTTCAGTAATACAGAAACAATTTTTTTTGAAAATTTTAAACAATTTAAAACCATGTTAGTACATCAAAATACAAAATAGACATTTTCAACTGAAGCATTTCGCTGAAAATTTTTGCATGCAACTTCAAACTAATAAATAAACAAAATCATAGCTTTGTGATTCAACAGATAACTTGGAGATTATATTTCAAAGTAATAGAAATATGTGTCTAAAAATTTCATAATTATAAAAAAACCACACATCTTTGATTAAAGTGTTACCCGACTATTAACGTCCCGAAGGAGAAGTTTATGTTTTCATAAAAAAATCCGATTCTCTAATTTTATGTTTTCTCGACGTTTCAAGCCATTCTGAATCGAATAAGACCAAGTTTGGAGAAAGTATGTGTGTGTGTGTGTATGTAAACAGATTTCTTGGGCATCATGATGTATATTAATGAAATATGCACATTTAAAATATGTATCGGCAGATGCAAAAATTTTAATGATAGCTTCAACCGTTCCCGAGATATTCGCTAAAAACCATTCGCTCCTTTTCGCATATTAAAAATGCGTTTATCTCGAAAACTATTTGAAGTGCGATCGAATTTTTTTAATAGCATTTTCTTTATGTTATAAGGTTTCAACAATATCATAGGATCAAGGATCCTATGTTGAATATTTTCCTAGCTATAGGCGTTTACCTACGAAAACTGGTTCAATTATAAAAACGATTGATTTTTGAAAATTTGCTTTTAGAAAATACTCCGAGTCAACGTGTTCGTTCGTTTTTAGTTATGTGTAATAAATTCATTCGGAGTACTTCTAATCACTCAAATTAATTTATTTTTTATTGATTAAGTCGATTATTTACACATTTCGGGAAGTTCATGTAACTTGCCTCAAGGCTAAATACCAATACCAACTAGTTCTGTTATATATTATATATTTATAAATGAGGGGGAGGAGGTAAATATTATAATTATTTTAGACCCTCCAGAGTTTGCATTAGTACGAATTATAATATAATGACTAATTCAAAATGATGCAACAAGAAACTCGCTCTGTTAAATGAGTTACTATATGCGCATTCAAAAGATTACGTTGCAAAGGAGATAATGAGTTCGTGCAATGCTAAACTAAGAATACTTGATTACACAAGATAAGAGTATGCAAGAATCTGAAACTAGACGCATTCATACTATACGAAACATGCATGTTTGCCTAATTTATATGAAAGCTTTAAATGATGGCAGCATGCACAACTTTAATGTAAAGTTAACATACGAAATACTTATATTGCAGTATAGTGCTGAGAATCGTATAATTTAAATGTAATGCGAATGCAGTTAGGATACATTCTACATTTAAGATCATTTTACAATTTGATGTATTAAATCAGGATTTTTTCAAAGTGGTACACGAAGTGTCAATATACAAGAATAGTCGAATTTACAAATTACGGATTATAATTGTTTTTTTTTAACTAACACATGATTGAATATGTGGTAATTTTACGAATAAACTTCGCCCGTTAACTTTCGTAAATCGAAGGACCGAAATCAAATAAGAAAAATTGAGTTGGAAAAATCAAGATAAAAAATTGGAGGCACAAAAATTTTCAAAATCTTCAAAGAAATTACCATGTTTAAATATCTACAAATATTGTAATGTAATCGTTTCAAAAATGTATATATAAATTATATATTGTTACTATTTTCTATTGATCTTACAGTAATTTATACAATAATGATATTTTTAAATATTGACAATAAATAATTTTGGATGGTAGGTATATATAATTTGCCTTTGAATCAAATCATTTTGCTAGGCAAAATGCAAATTAGAATAACTGAATCAAAAATTAGAATAAAAACTAGCTGTAAGTGCAATTCTGTCTTAAGGCAATTAACGCATCGTGCCTTAAGGCAAATTGCTGGAACTTTCTGTACCGCAATTCAAAATTCGAGTAATTAAAAATAATCAATAATAATCAAGAAAAGTTGATCAATGATTCGAAACTTTTAATAAAATTTCGAACCATATTAAATCATTCTATCTTAAATCATTTATTTTGAAATATTTTGGAAATTCTGAACTTTTTTTCAAAGCAATCGTATTGCTTTAACTGCATAAAGACGAAATATCAAAGCATGTAAGCGCCGCATCGCCGTCTAACGCGTAAACATTGGTATGGAACCCATAGGAATGTAAACAAAATTTATACTTATTGTTAAAACTTCTATAAATTATCTGATAATATGATGTGCATTTGTCTAATGTTCATTTTTGACCGCCAGATGGCTTTTTTTTACTTTTTTTGTTAGATCTCCGAAACCGCTAGACATGCCTTCATGAAAATTTGATCAGTTCTTCGTCTTGTCAATACAAGTAAATGTTCTTTCAATTATTCAAATCGGACGCTCCGTTCTCTTAAAAAGTGAGTTACCGTTTTTGGCACTTTTTGCCCCATATCTTCGGAACGGCTAAACCTACCTTCACCAAAAATTAATCAGCACGTCTCCTTATCAAAAAGAATCGAATTTTTTCTGAATTATTCAAATCGCTTCATCGGGTGTTCCCGAAATCGTCGACGAAAATTTGTATCCGCACACACACACATACACGCACATACACACACACATACATCCATTTTTTCTAAGGTATGCCAAAATGTTCAAAAACCTCTGAAACGTAAAGATATATAAAAAAATTCATTTTCGATTTTTTTTGCGATTACTATAACTTGCCCTAGGGGAAGTTAATAAAAGATTTTTAAAAATTTCTACAAATTTAAGGACTAAATATTTTTGAACATCTGCAAATATTTTATTAATTACAAAAACCAAATTAAGATAGTTGAGTTGTAGAAAATTAGGATAAAAAGTTTAGGGTTCCAAAATCTTCAAAGAATTTAGCATTTTAGTATAAATGTTTCCAATATATCCAAATGACGAACGATAGTCGTTATCGAGCGCATCGATGGCTCTTCAATTTTTAAAATTGGTCCACCCGTTTTTGAAAAAATGTCGAGAAAAAAAAAACATCGGCGCACATACATACTACAACTAAGCTACGACTAAGTCTAGCTACAACAATTATTCCAGTTAATAGAGTTTCTACTGTACAAGAGTATTCAGCAAATAATAGGCAAGTGTTAATAATAATTTTCCATTAATTTACCGTTTACTATTAATCTAAAAGTCTTCCGCTGTTCGGCAGGTGATCCCCCGCCGCCGCCGTCCCCGGCGCACACCCACAATCCGCGGTCGACACCAGCAATGTGAAGAAAGACAAGTGCTTTTGCACCTGGTGCTATGGCTGGCCGCGGCTCGACGTGAATTCGACCCCGGGACTCGGTAACAGGGTCACCGCGTGGATTTAGCCATCGCACCTATTATAAAATTTTATATAAATATGAAAAATAATTGATGTCTCAATTGTGGAAAGTTATAAATGTAATAAAAATGTATGTTATAGTTTTATATGTGTAACCAAAAGCATTATTTAATCTATGGTTAATGTTTTGATATGTATAAATACTATTCACGTAATTTAATATAGTATTGCAATATGTAGGGGAGCTAGGGGCAAGTTGTAATACGCGGTTTCAATACGATCTAAAACGATATTAATCAAATTTCTTTGTCTCATGATGTTAATTATGTGTCTTGAGTAAAAAATCGCTCCTAGGGTTAGTTAAAAAAATACTTAGTTGTAATATACAAGAATTATGGCCGGATTAGCTCATGATGTTGTTGGTTCCATTGTTGGCAATTACATAAAAAATGAATATTATTGAGTAGTTGATAATAATAGAAATATGAAGTGTAACAATGAATATGTAAAATATCAGAATGTATAAGAATTTCAATTTTAATATGTATGTAAAAAATTATTAGAATGTGGATAGAAATTGAATAAGAATTGAGATGAAATTAAATAGAGGATGAAAAAGGAGAAGAATGAAAATAAGTCAAAAAAAACTATAAAGAATAATAGGATTCTTATGAAGAAGATAAGTTGAAAAATACAGTATAAGAAAAATAGGATTTTATGTACAGATTCAAGTAAAGAAGATTGATAGGAATGGATTGTTTGTAAGATGTGAGCACATGTAAATTGTTTTACGGAATTTTCCATTTGTATGATGATAACCATTTTAATTTGGGTTGATTTATGAAAAAAATTACATAAAAATTTCAATTTTCTTAAAAATAGGCAAATAATCTATCAGAAGTATTATTGTCGTTGATACTATGATATGCCATGATAAAAGTTACAACAAGCCCCCAGCACCTCTATACCTATATATATATATATATATATATATATATATATATATATATATATATATATATATATATATATATATCAGTTATTTAAATTTATGGAATACCTTTGTTCCTTTATGGCCATGACAAGTGACCATATGTTTGTCATTGACGAATCTCACGATTTCAGTAGCATTTGGAGTGATGTGGACGTTGTCATGTCCATGTGCAATAACTGAGAAAGAAATTCATTTATATTATAAAAACACTCATATATATATATATATATATATATATATATATATATACATATATGTATATAAGAATAATTTTGATCATTATTTTTGATCAATCTATTCATTTGGTTATTATGAAAAATATATTAGTATGAAAATGTTTGCATAATATGAGATCATTAAAAAATATTTTTGCTGTAATATCATAAACATATCAACCTTGATATTTTTGCTGATTTTTCAATAAATAAATAAATTAGAAAACAAAGCTACTTAACCATTCTATGAGCTCGTGTCACTTTCAGGACACATTCCAAATATTGCAATATTTTGCCAAAGCATTGTGGCTTTTTTAGTGAGATAAAGCATGAATCTAACTTCTAGAATTTTGTTAAGGCAACGAAGTAGGCTTAACTGAAATAAGATTTTCATATAGAGAAGTGCATTATAGGCTGCTGACTTTATTTTTTTTATATATATGCTTATTGATACCGATTTCTGTTTCCCTAATATTTTTGGATGTAAGACAAAAATTCGGTTTATGTAGGATATATCATATATTAATTGTATCTTATCATGCTGAACTAATTTCAGCTGAAATCTAACACGTATTATAATATACACATTACAGTTAATTACATCAACCTCACTATAATCAACTGGCAAACGGATCTCAAACGAGCTATAATTCGCTAGTTTTATGCAATTTACGCCGGCATGAGACGTAGATACGTTTCGTTTCTTGGGTTTCCTTGTTCGCAGTATATTAAACGTCAAGTTACATTTAAATATATAAACGCTTGCTCACGCCCAATTGCATTTCTGCTCGTGCTTAATTCAATTAAAGGTACCGCAGCACCCGACCATTGGAGAAAATAGCAGACGTTATAGAACAGAGGAACTAGATATAGCACAACTGGATATAAACAAGATGAGATGTTCGTTTTACGTAAAAATTGCAAAGTTTGAGATCAAACGTTGATTGAATGATAGAAAAACTTTCTTTAAAAATAAATGATTTAAGGAGGTATTCGTAGAGGTATGAAATTAAATCATTCTTAAATCATCGTAAAAAAGGCAAAAACATTTTTTACTATTATTTTTTATAATTTATTTATCAATGTTACAAAAGTACAGTAAAAATGTAAAAAAAATGTAAATAATTTTAAAAATTAGCGCACGCCCCGCAGAATTGCTTTTCTTTAAAATCAGGGTGGAGCAAATTGAAGAATGACACGACTCTAACCCATTTGCTTCGGATGACTTGAATGCAATGACAAATATATTCGATATTTTAGAGAAAAAAGAATATTTATAAATTAAATTTATACAACATTTGCATTTCTTATACGATAACCCTTACGTCATAAATTTTTTTTCGTGTATGTGCATAGCCTTACGTTTGCCTAAATATCACATTCTATGTTTTTAAACAAGTCGTTACTCGTTAACAACAACATTATTAATTGGAGGGCCCGGGTTCAATCTGGTGGTAATAGATTATTCGTAAGGATAAGAATTGATTGTATAGGTTTCCCACAATACACAATTCATTAATAAGAATAATATAGAAGTATGAAAAATAAATCTAGACACATTTAGATAGATATATCTAGATAGATACATTTACATGATTTTTAGTGAATATCACGCGAACGGTTAGAGCTATCATAACATTTTGCACCAGCTGATAGATATTTTAAACATGCATATTTCATTCATAGACCTCATAGCCCTATCTTGAAAAGTTTAGGAGTTATAGGCGTTGAACCGTTTGGAACCTAAATTTTTGTATCAGTTTTTGGCAAATATTTCGGGAACGGTGAAAGGTATCATAAAAATATTTGTATTAGGTTAGAGTCCTATTATGAATCGTTTGGGAGTTATAACCGCTTGAAGATTTCATATGTAAAAAATGCTCAAAAGTGGTCGAAAAATAAGTCAGTTTTTCAATTTTTCACAGACCTTCCGGGCACGTGAAAGTTTCAATTAAACATCAGATGAATAGTCATGTGGTCTAGAATAACGTGAAAAAAACTGCATTTTAATGTTTTGAACGGTTGCCGAATAAATCGAAAAAAACTGAAATCATACCATGACCACCTATTTCCCTGGTAAGGAATATTTTCGCGATTTTATACGGAAAATTTTTGTTTCAGATTTTGATCATATTCATAACGTAGGTTCCTTATGATGTTAAGAAAATGGTATTAAAATATTTCGATAGTAGTTCAAATAGTTTTTGAGATAAACGCATTTGTAATATGCGAAAAGTAGCAAATGGTTTCTAGTGAATATCTTGCGACCGGGTAGAAGTATCATAAAAATTTGTACACCTGATGATACATATTTTAAATACGCATATTTCATCTATAGACTTCATGGCCCTATCTTGTAAAGTTCCTGAGTTATAGACGATTAACCGTTCGAAACCTAAAAATTTTAAACAGTTTTTGGTGAATATCATGGGAACAGTGAAAGGTAACATAAAATTAATTGTACTGGGTTAAAGACCTTTTGATTCAAAATATTTCATCCTAAGACATCGAAGTCCTATTATAAGTTCAGGAGTTATAGCCGTTTGAGGTTTCATATGTAAAAAATGCTCAAAAATGTCGTCGTTTTGTAGTATATTTTGCTGTAAGTAAAATTCACTAAATCCGCATCTGTACAATTAAGACGCTGTACATAGTGAAATATATAAAGAGAGCTCGGTATTATGGTGTTTCAAGAGTACTAGGATGAGACAATTTACGCTACAATCAATCTGGATGTATAATGTCGCTATTTTCCGCCAACATCGGTTTACGGGTTTCAAGAGGCAGAGCGTCTATGTCTTCTCGTCTTAGTAGTTTTCCATCGTATAATCCTCCAAATCTTGAGATAGAATATAATTTCATAGTATATAAAACATTAGTAAACTAGTGGGGTGCAGAACCCAAAAAAAAAATACAAAAAATGTGTACACATTATTAAAATATCTGATAATTTGATGTACATATGTCTAATAAAAAATTTTGATCGCCAAATGACATTATTTTAACTTATTTTCATTGAAAGTCTATAATCATTGATCGGTGTTCCCGAAATCGTCGACAAAAATTTGTATTCGCACACGCACACACACACACACACACATACATCAATTTTTTCTAATGTATGCCAAAATATTCAGAAACTTTTGAAACGTAAAGATATATAAAAAAAAAATCATTTTCAATATTTTTGCGATTACTATAGCTTAACCTACAGAATTATATGCATTTACACCCAGCATATTGTCTTCAAAAAATTATATTATTTTGATCGGCAATAAATCTATGCAAATAAAAAAAAAATTTTTGTTCTACAAATGATGTCAATGAGAGTTTGAGATGAATCCATCAAATTTATCTCTACTCTACTCTACTCTAACAAAGTACAAAATTTCATAACCATATTATTAAAAATCAAAAATATCAATGTACCGGTACATTTCTGTAAATTTTATCATCCACGAACACGAGTTAGATGATGGTGAGTGAACATGTCTGTTTTCAAAACCGAAACCCACGTTTGAAAAATAAAATATATATCCCAGTAAAAATTATACAAAACTGACGAGTTAACGTCATATTCTCTTTACATCTGAATACGAACGGTTCTTTTCAGTATGTTTCTTTTATTGCGATTTAAGCTCCGTTTTACAAATGTTTTTAGAGCAGTCCAGGTAGGTGGGTTCAGTGATATAACTATGGCACAAAGGATTATTATTCACCTGTATAACTTTTGTTTCGGTTATGTAACAAAACAATGGCTGCATTATCACTTAACGTTCAACATTTTGAATCAGTTGGCATGTTACGGGAAATCCTAAACAATTTCGAACCATTGTATCATTGTTGGCTAAATATAGGACATATAATTCCACCAGGCGACATAACGATGTGATTCTGGATGATCACTTTGTTCCAGCGATAATTGAAATATTTTACGCAATAATTATTTTTAAGTTCCTTACAGTTCTTTAAAAAAAATGTTTGTACGCGCCAGAAAATCCAACTTAACCAAATTTCAACAATTTTAAGGCCATTGATTAAGTTCAAAAAAGGACTAAAACTCGATAGGACGTTTTTTTAGATTATTAATATATAAAATATATTACTCTCACATAATTGCTCTTAGTTGATATTTAAATATTAGTTAAATCACAACACCTCTTATATTTAAAAATCTCATTGAAATTATAATTTGTAATTAATTTTATATATGTATATTGTATTTGATGTATATTTATATAAATTTCATATTTCTATTATTCAAAAATTACAATAGCACATTTTTGCCTCCTGTAAAATATGTTTTAATAACATTTCACAGCTGTCTGAATATACACATTACAAAGTCGGATGGTAGAATTTAATTGAAATAAACTATTTAGTAAAACTTTAACTCTTTTGAAAGAAAAGTTGATTAATAGCACTTTAATTAAATTGACTTATAGAACATTGTAAGTTATATTCAAAGTTTGTGAAGCATAATGACTTTATAGGTATACTATACGTGCTTTTGCATTTTCCACATACAAATCGGGAATAAAGTTTTACATACATACTTTTTGAAATTATAGGTATGTTCTTATAAGAAATTTAAATTTCATTGATCTTGCTCGTATTAAATTTTTATGAAATTTGTGCAAAGTAGCTATTTGAATTAATCAAAATATGGAGATTGTAAAATGGTAAAATACTTGATATAATACTAAAAATGACATGATTTTTGCTGCATTTTACTCACCATCTGTTCAGAGAAAAACATTTGAACTAAATGTGAACAAAATGGGTCAGCCGTTGTCGTGCTATTTTTCGGTTTTTAATTATTTACACACAATTTTTCAATAATAAGATTATCAAGTATTTTACCATATCCTGATTAATTGCGCCAACTATTCGTGAAACTTTCGAACATACTTAAGTACATTTTTTTAAAAAGAGAGCCTCTCAAAGTAGACCGATTTTAAATTTATAGTTCGACAAAAAGTCCTTATTATTGAAAACTTGGGGCAATTGTGTTATTATTTTTGACTGTGATCCTAGAATTTTTTTCACGGGTACAGTTCCAAAGTATAAATGAACAAAATTAATAAAAAATGAACACAATAACTGCAACATGGTCATATTTTCACCAAGGCTCTAGGTTGCAAATAAAAGCTCGTTTATTTCACAACAATTTTCAAACAATGTGAGATTTTTTTTTTTAATTTTTCTTTTCAGGTCAATACTATCACTATTTTATTATACTCATAGTTTGACTAAATTCGTCATATTTCATTTCATATTTCGACTAAATTTGACATACTTTAT